GTCGCGAGGATGAAGTTTAAGGAAAAGGAAAATGGGTGTTTCGGGTTTTTGTACATTGATTCTCGCAGGATTAAGGCGCACCACCGACAACTAGGGTTAGGGATCTCCTACACACCACCACCACCACCACCACCACCACCACATCGAAAATGCTCCTAGGATAATCTTCAGTATCCAAAGAAGATTCATTCGTCAGTTGGATGACATACATCATTGGAAAATGAAGTTGAAGATCGATGTCTCAGAGTTGAAGACAATGTCAAACAGTGCTTCTTTTCTTACAAATACCGTCAAACTGATGCATGCTAAAAAATTTTACAGCGGTAAAATAAATCATTCAACATACACTTAGATAAAAGTAAACATCATTACTAAAAATTTTTACTTGGAAAACTCATAAAGGAAAAAATCAAGTCTAACTTAATTGTAAAAATTCACTATAAATTTTTACAGAGGTCTTTTTATTTTATAGGTGGGAAGAGGTTACAATGCCTTTCAAATTACAACATCGATGTACGAATAAACTTTTTGTAAGAAGTTGTCGACATGCTGATAGTTAGTGATCGACGGCGATCGACGTGGTCAATGACAATTGACGATAATCAATGGCGATCAGTAGTGGTCAAAGAAGGTCGGTAGAGATAGACGGTAGCAGGAGTGATGCTAACCTTCATCTTCTTCTCAAAGCTTCAAATTCTCTCTCAATCTTCAAGTCCTCGCTTTCATGAAAATGGCGAGACTCTACTTATTGTATTTTATGTTCAATTAATGCATGCATGTATATCACTTCGATTAGATGATAATACTTCATTCAATCATACGCATTTGATGAATATTTGAATGTCTTAACAACATTAGAAATGAGAATTCTTAAAGTTTACTGGATTCATTTGTGAAGACACTCGATTTGATTATACGCTTGTTAAATTTGACAGTGATACGACATTCTAAATATGTATTAGAATCTTTCAAGAGGGATTTAATTACTTGATTTGACTCAAACTGGACTAATTAGATATGATTTGGTCTGCCTCATCAAACAGTCAGTTTAACCGTAAGTGATGAAATTAGAGCTCTGAATGAATTTTTATGAAGATTTAAATATTTTTTTTGCTAAAAAAATTAAATTTAGATCTCTGTCATGACTCAATTGTTGATGGCTTAGCAAAGCATAAAAAATAACCATCCAAAATGCACTAAATTATAGAAACATAAATTATAATATTTATAACGATAATACAAACGCCCATAGACTTAAAACGATAACAATGGAAGCAAAGCGACGGAATAAAAACACAACAATACAAAGCGTGGCCAGGAAACACCAACACGGTACACTAACCCACAACCGCCATCAGGAACCTGTGCTAATATATAACACAGCCTCACAATTATTGACCAAATCTACACACCAAGCAGCATTCTCCATGGAGAAAGAGAGCTAATGACTTCCAGGGAGCTTCTCCTTGATCTTATCAATTATTCCCTTCTTCTCCTGCGTGTCTCCAACAGTCGCTCCCTGACCAACAGCCGCTCCATGACCAACCTGCTGCTCCGGTTAAACAACATCT